TGCTGTTGAGTACAGCTTGTGCTCTGCCACACTCCATGAGGAATGTTTGTATGCATTGGACGTGATATTGAAAGTCTGCTGTCTTGCTGTTGACAAGAACTGCCATGCTCATGCCTGTTTCCACGTCAATGCCTGTGAGGATTGGTGTTGTTTCCTTTTCTCCAAAAATTTTTGAAGAAACAAAAGTCGAATTGTACGACTGGTTGTTTGCTGTGTTGTCGTGGGTGGTTGTCTGCTCGTCCTTTGTTTTGAACACATGTTGGACACCAACTCCTGTAGGGAAGGTGTGTGAGTTCATGTTCAGCACGCTCTTGTGCTGTTGGCTGCTCTGGTGCTTTGATGCCTTTTGCTGTTCTGGCATCTAAATGTTCTTCCTCATCGATGTTGTAGTACTCCTCTTTGAACGCCGTGCTCTCCTCAAAGTTGTTGAACCTGTCCATGTGAAGTTCATTGTTGCTGAGGTCTTTGTTGTCCAGTCATCATCAATCCTGTATCCTCTGGCTCCTGATGTTGGCTTAACTTTTGTTTGTCTTTGTGGCAATAGCTTTGTGACATCTGGACCATCCATTGTTTGTTGTGGGATGTAAAGCTGAGTCCGTTGTTGTACATGGACTCTCTTCCAGTACTGTCCTTCTTTGATCCAGTAGTCTGCTGTTGCTGGTGTGTCCTTTGGTCCTGGAACTGCTGTTCCTGGATATGCGTGTTGCTTCATGGGCTGCTGTTGCTGTGGTACCAAAGGTTGTTCCACTGGCTTCTTCTCTCTGTGTCGAACTGCTGATCCTGTAGGCTGCTGAGCTTGTTGCTGCTGTTGCTGTGTCGTTGCCTTGGCTGCCGATGCCTTTGGTGTTGCTGATGCTGGCGCTGAAGCTGCTGTTGATGCCTTGGGCAACGGTGGTGCTGGAGGCTTTGTTGTCTCTTTGACTCTGAACCATGTTTCTCCTGACCATGCTGGTCCTGGAAGTCTTCTGTTCTGTCGTTGTCGTGGAAGGTCTTTGTATTTGTCCTCAAAGTCCTCAAGTGTTCCATCTGGCTTGCATGCTATTGTTCTTCTGTAGTTGTCCAGCTGTTCTTCTGGAACTGGACATTGTGCATCTGGTGTGAAGAGGGCCTTCCTTGTTCTCTTGTGTACCCTCACCAGATATCCTGTGCTGTTGTATATCCAAATGTCGTTGTTGTGTGTGACCCATTCAGGTCCTGTTGGTGTAATTGTCACTGGGGGCACTGTTGCTCGAATGCCATGTGACGTCTCACATATGTCGAGCTTCATGTTGCTTGGCATTGGGCTGATGTTGACTGTAAGAAAATACAGTCCTTGTTGTTGCTTCAGTGTTGCTTCAAAGCCGTTGGTGTTGGTGATTGTTGGGCGATCGCTAGGCTGGATGTTGAAACCCTGTGATGCCAGTCTTGTTACTGACAAAATGGGTTGTGACACGTCACACACATAAAAGGGTATGACGATCGGTTGTTGCTTGCTGTTCTTCATGTACACCCATTTGTAGCCATAGACTGTGATGTCTTCCGCTGTTGCTGTTGTAAGTCTTGGGCCTTGTTCTGGGTGAAGTTCATATGTTTTGTATGTTGGAGCAAACCATGGTGGGCAAACATGTGTTGCTGCTCCACTGTCAATCATCAAATCTTCTGTGGTGTTTGCCGGTTGCTCAGTTGCTGGTTGCTGCTTGTTGGACTGCTGTATTGAAATGGCTGCTATGTGGAGTTGTGGAACTTGCTGTTCCTGCGCGCTTGTTGGTGGGAGTGCCAGTTGTTGCTGTGGCAGTGCGCTGACCTGTGTTTGGTCATCATTCCACCATTGGCCGTCATAGTACTGTTGTTGTTGATACCATTGGGTTGTTGCATCATCTTGCCAATTGCCAGTGTATGTGTTGGTTGTAACCTCGTTGAGGTTGTGTACTGCCACACGGCAGTCTCTTGCTATGTGACCTGGTTGGCCACATCTGTAGCATCCTTGTGTTGGGACCCCTTTTCCTTTTCCTGTTGGCTTGCCTTTGCCTTTGCCTATGTACCCTCCTTTGTTGTTGGATCCTTTGGGCTGCATTCCTTGCCCAATCTTTCCTTTGCCTTTGTTGTATCCGTAGCCATATCCTTTGCCTTTGTTGCTCTTGTTCTTTCCTTTTCCTTTGTTGGGCTTCTTTCCTTTTCCTTTGTTGTACTTTCCTTTGTATCCTTTGTTGACAGCTCCAATGTCCATAGGTGCCGGTCCTCCTTGGGCGTGTGTTGAGACGCTGGATGTCCCAGGTTGCTGGTGTAGCCTGCTGAGGGCTGTGGTGGCTCTGTAATATTCCATGATTGTTTCACGTACCTCTACGTATGTTGGTGTTGCTCCTGCATTCAAGTGCAGGTGTTGTTGCAGTGGGCCTGATGTCTCGTTCATCAGGACTGCAATTTTGATTTGGTCTGGTAGTGTTGTGTTGTTGTCTCTCTCATACCTTGAGAGCTCGAATTCCCAGTTGGAGAATGACTCCTCGAAGTTGTTGCTGTCAAATGTTGGCTTGAGCAGCTTTGTTAGGTACCCTATGCTTCTTGTTCCTAATGGTATGGCAAACCTGTTGCTGAGCTGCCTGTAGGTCTCAAGTCCCATCTCATGTTGATACTGTCTGCACACTGTTGCTGCAGCTCCTTTTTCCACGTTCACAAGTATGTACTTCAAGTTGTTGTCTAGTTGTACCCATCTGTCGGCTTCCTCCATGTTCTGTGCTGCTCCTCTCAAGTCTGCTTCTGTAAGTCGTTGTGTGGATGTTGCTGCACGTCGTAGGATGTTGGGGTAGAATGGGTCCATGAGGCCCATGTATGCTGTGAATTTGTATTTCCACTCCTCAAATGTGGAATAGTTGCCATCGTATGTTGGGGGCTTGAGTTTGAGCCGGTGTGTTGCTGCCAACGCTTCTGTCTGATCCTCTAGTGGTGCTGTTGGTGATGCCGCCATTGTTGCTTTGTAAAGTTTTGTTGAAGCTCCTCCAATGTCTTGGGATCAAGGCTTCTCCCTGTTGTCAGAGTGTTGTTGTTCAGCTGCTGCTTCCTCTGTTGTCTGGTGTGTTGTTTGTTGGGTGTTGTGCACAGTAATTGTTGAGAGTCCCCCAGTGTTCTGGGATCAAGCCCTCTGCCTGTTGTTTACTGCTGTTGCTTGGAGATGCCCCTGGTAAGGCAGAGCTCCGCTACCATGTAAAAGTGCGAGATGTTTCAAGCACTGTTGTCAAGCTGCAACTGTCGGCACCTTTTGCTGTTGCACGCACTCAATCTGTATGTTGTCAACTGGAGTTGACTCAAGGCCTTGAACCACAGGCCAGTGTTGATATGACATGTTGAATATGTACATTGACAATACATACACACGTACGTACGTACGTACCTACATACCTACAAATACCTACAAATACCTACAAATACCTACATACCTACATACCTACATACATACCTACATACTTACATACATACATACATACATACACACATACACACATACATACATACATACATACATACATACATACATACATACATAAAAACATATATACATACATACACACACACATACACACATACACACATATACACATACATACATACCTACCTACCTACATACCTACATACATACATACATACCTGCAAACCTACATGAATACATACCTACATACCTACAAACCTGCACGAATACATACCTACCTACGTACCTACCTACCTACATACCTACATACATACATATATATATATATTACCTACATGCCTTCATACCTACATACCTACATACCGACATACCTACCCACCTACCTACATACTTAGCCTACATACATACATACATACATACACACATACGTACGTACGTACCTACATACCTACAAATACCTACGTACCTACATACCTACATACATACCTACATACATACATACATACATAGTTACTTTCATATTTACACACCTACATACCTACAGACCTACCCACAGACCCAAAGACCTACAGACCCACAGACCTACAGACATACCTACCTACCTACCTGCCTGCCTGCCTGCCTGTCTACCTACCTGCCTTACATACATACATACATACGTATATATATATATATTACCTACATGCCTTCATACCTACATACCTACATACCGACATACCTGCCCACCTACCTACATACTTAGCCTACATACATACATACATACATACACACATACGTACGTACGTACCTACATACCTACAAATACCTACGTACCTACATACCTACATACATACCTACATACTTACATACATACATACATAGTTACTTTCATATTTACACACCTACATACCTACAGACCTACCCACAGACCCAAAGACCTACAGACCCACAGACCTACAGACCTACATACCTACCTACCTACCTGCCTGCCTGCCTGCCTGTCTACCTACCTGCCTTACATACATACATACATACGTATGTACATACATACATACATACCTACATACCTACCTACCTACTCACCTACCTACCTACCTACCTACATACCTACATACCTACATACCGACCTACCTACATGCCTACATAACTGCAGATCTACCCACAGGCTAAAGGCCTACAGATCTACCGACCTGCCTGCCTGCTTGTCTACCTACCTACCTACCTACCTACCTACGTACCTACCTACCTACATACCTACATACATACATACATACACATATATATATATACATACATACATACATACACACATACACACATACATACTTACATACATACATACAGACATACATACATACAAGAGATCCCCCCATTCCCACAGCGCAAAAGGGGAGAGACCCCCCCACTCCCACACCAGGAATGGGACCATGACCATGACGGGGGGGTGGGGCTGCAGGCCTGTACCATATATGATCATATATGGGCGCATTGTTTTTTGGTTGAGCTGCCAAAGCAACAAGGGCGCAGAAAGAGGGCGCAGAAACATCGTCAAACCCACACGCACACTCGAACCAACAAAGGCGCTGTACAGTATATGTTCCGCTTGCGCAATGAGCGTCAGGTTCATCCATTTTCTTGGCGGTGCCTTTGTGGGCGTATCACCTAGGCCAAGATCCGGCAACCATCTGTGCCAGCAATGCTTGACTTGAACTGGCAACTGCGCAGGTTGTTTTACGAAGGCTTCCTGCAAAACCTTACCGAAAAGTGTGAGGCCGTGTGATACTTTAAATATTGCCTGTCGCTTTCGCATCTCTATCTTCATGCACCTTTTACATTATAGCCGCATGGATGCATGGCCTTTTTGGGCCCATCAATTGCTTATACTGTTTGCATTCTCGTCGCAGGCTATCGTGATCGCAACGCCCTACCAACTGGCTTTTGATTATGATGCCATGGCAGAAGCCGCGGCCGCGAGATTTGAACGAACGGCGAGGCACCAGCTTCATGCTTTTACAGGTGTAGCCGCTGCCCTCGTACCTTGTACAAGAAACCCTTTGAAACTTGCCTCCCAAGTCCTGGGTCAGCAACGGTTGCTTGTGAGTCAACTCACGGCGGAGTACCCGGCTTGCACAGACCTTCCAGTTGTGGCAGTGAGCACCTCAGTTTCTTGCTGCTCAGCAGACATGCGACATAAAATGCCGTGAGAAAGATAAGATGAGTGTCAGGAGGGCTTTCAAAAGAAATTTCACCTTGTCTCAAACCGGCGTGACCTGGCAAGGTCGGACACTCGTGTGGCGCATTGCTTCATGCATTGCTGGCCTGTGCTGGAGCGGATTACCAGGCGATTTGGCGTAAATAACGCGGAAGGGCATATAATTATTTATTTTCCTTGTTCTATCCCGCTTGCGGAGTTTTATTCTGTTTTTTGCTGTTGCTGCTTCCCTGCTTTTCCCCTTCTTTGTTTCTTTGTTTTCCCCTTCTCTGCTTAATCTTTTTTCGGCTTCTCCATTTTTCTGATTAACCAATTTTTTTCTTGCCCCTCTGCTTTTCTCCCCCCCGTTTTTCCTAAAAAAGTGACAAAGAAAAATGCAAATGCTACTGTGAATACCTCATTATCTACTAGTTCAGGACCTCAAAAATTACCTGGTACGGGACCTTTTTGCATGACTCTGTACAGGCCCTTCACAGGAGATCTTGTGTAGATCCTGGCGAGATCCTCTCTACAAGGTCCTTGCATGAAGATCTCGCAGATGCCATGTCTTAGAGGTGCTTGTATGAGCTATTGCGGGAGGATCTTGGCAAGCTCTTGTATCAAGATCTTGTAAGACCCGTTCCAGCAGCAGCAGGTCCTTTTATGACGATCTAGTCAACTTCTCTTAGGGATCTTAGGGGCTAGGGATCCTGGCATGAAGGTCTTGGAAAAGCTGTTGTGGAAGGCTAAATGCTTCTCCCCGTGCGGCTTCCAGAAACACGGGGTATCTTCCTACACACCATCTCAGACACATTGCCCATGTGTGTGTGTGTGTGTATCTGGGAGGTTTTGCCAAAGGGTCTGAAACCGGTCTGAAACGGCCGTTAACTGCTCACCATCTCAGACTCTATGCCTCTTCGGGTACAGCGTCATTGCTGTGGAATTGCAGGAGAAATTTGTAGATTGTGTGATTTGGTTCCACTACTGGACCGCTTCGAAACACCTTCCCCCTCACCATCTCAGACTCCACATTCTGTTCTTGCAGAACTGATTCCAGGTCAATTTTTTAACGCCTGTGTTTTTGCGGAACCATGCTCATAAAAAATCGTTCCAAAACTTTAAAAGTGACTGAAACGCAGACCGCGCAAGAGCGCGCAAGGGAGAGGCGCAAGAACTCCTAAATGGAAACAATCTTAAGGGAATAACAGCAACCCCCAGTTCGTTTTTTTAAGGTAGGTTTAAAGATCATTTTGGTTGGGCTGGGGTTTCTGTTGTGGCTCTGCTGGGACGAAGCTCCCAATAATAATGGCCTTTTGATTCCTGGTGCAAATATTGCTGGCGCTGTATCCCACATGCGCGTTTGCGATGGAAACCCACCATCATTTACATTTGAACGAGGTTTTAAGACAAACTTGACAGAAGTAGATCGTGGAAGGATTTCACTGTCAACGTGCATGTGTGTGTAGGAAAGCGGGCACCAAACACAGGTCGTACTAGGTACTAGGGTTAAGTCCTTGCATCGTGTGTTAAGTCGTTGCGGATGAGCGTCTGCCTTGCGGAAAGGCATATTGGGGAGCATCATAGTATAACATATTGGATAAGCTATGTATGTTGTTTCTATGCTTAGATGTGTGTCTGCCATGCGTTGCTTTTTTTTTCGCAACATATATGTTTGTGAGGATTGGTAAGGTTCAAATATGATAGAATAGCATGAAATAATGTAAAGTGATATATTCTGGTGTATCACGTTTAAACATTTTGGGTTAGTCATGTATGTTGTCTTTGCTCTTGGATGAGTGTGTGCCATGCGGTGCTCTTTTTTTTCGAGGTTCTTTGTCTATCAGCATTGGCCAGGATTCAAACATGAAAGGGTAGTATACACTATGTAAACTGATATATTTCATGGTATCATTTCATGGGTAAGGGTCTGTCTGTCCCGGGTAGTTTTTGACCTCGTTTGGTACCTCGTTCGGACCTCGTTCTGACCTCGTTCGTGACCAGCCTTCGTTTGGTCTTTTTTTTTTCTATGTTTTGTTGATTACTATCATCCGAGCATGTGGCAGTGAAATGTGATTACAGTACTGCTTCAGTGCATCCTTTCATTGCGTTTGCATGGTAAAGTGTTCAGGAGATACAGCTACTTGACATGCAAAACAGATCTAAAACTGCTTGTAAACACATCCTAGCTGCGAAAACCAACTCTAATCTGACCATGGTTCCTGCGCTCGCATTTCCATGGTGTTTGGCATCGCAATTGCCGTTCCTAGACATCTTCAAATCATGTCTGTGACATTGGGTTTTCACTTATGAACTGTACCCAACATATCCATCGTTAACGCGCGTTTCCATTGTAACTTGTACACAAAACATATGTGCAAAACATGCCCTGGACATATACCTTTCACCGCCAGGCCATGCTAAACAGAACAACAAGGATACTAAAACCCATTGCATTCCGTACGCGTTTCCATGGTGAAACCATAAAAATGCTATGACTTAAACGGAGCTGCTATGACTTAAAACGTTCGCAGCGTTTCCATGCGAAAACAAGCCCCCTGCAATGACTTAAAACGAAATGCTATGACTTAACCCTTCCACTTGTATGTGAATGTGGGTCCTTTTTTGGGGGAAACCATGGGTAACCCAGGTTTCAGTGCCTGGTGTTGACTTGTTGACTATTCCTCGGAGCTGTGGCAGGCGTGTGTGTTGATGTCCTTCAACAACAAGCCACTTGTCAGAGATCAAATTTGTTCCCATGCTGGGTTACATTACATTCCATATCGCGGCTAGAATTCCTATGGCCAAGGCCAATTAGTGATGCTATTCCGGTTCCTTTGCCAGATGCTCCGCGCAATCTGCAGTTGAGAGAATTTGCGCGCAGCAACATCGAGGTGGCGAGCGAGCGAGCGAGAGAGAGAGAGAGAGAGACATGGAGAAACCCAGGAGAAAGGAGGTGATCAATTCAGAAGAAAACTACACACTCATGTCATGACAGGCGAGCAATTCCACAATGGACTTGAAGTGAAGCGAACATAATAATGAGCTTGAAAGCAAGGCTCATGACTTCCAGCATCCACTGTGACCGCACACGACACCGCAATTCCCAGCAATTGTCCAGGCCATTCTTGCTGATGAAAATATTGAGGACAATTGTCTCAATCGAGCCAGTTCGTAGTGCAAATTCCAACTCCGGAATTTTGTACCAGCAATCTGCGTGATGCAGGAAACCTTGAAGGCGGCAAAAGCAATGTTGCAGAATGTTGGTGTTGACACTTCAGGTGCCAAACCCAAAGGGGGTTCTTTCAAAGACTTATTGTTCTATGGATATCTAGCGATATAGATGATATATAGATTTTGATGACGTTTTTGGAATGCTTCAGACCTGCCACTTGTCGTTGAGGCTCCAACCCAGAACTTGCCCAAAAAGCAGCCCCGGTTGTGTTTGCAACTCAGCCCTAGGTGCATGCCGTTCATGCAAATCTTGCGGCAGGGCAAGAATATTGTGCGAGACAGTATCATCTGATGATTTTAGGCTAATTTTAGGTGTTTTTTGATGCATGGCCTCAGGTCACAGTTCGGCCCCCTTCTTGGAAGCGTCGTCGATGGCAAAAAAGAGTTCTCAATTTCGCGCGAGGCGGATGGTATGCCAAATACAATCAAATCAATTAATCATATCCATTTGTTTCTAACAAGGTAGAAATCGCTGGGCCATTTTGTACCTGTGATGCGCGTATCGTGTTTGTTGAGGAGATCTTTGATCGTTTATCTTTAGCATTTCCAGTACAGACGTGGACGCCTGAGCTGCAGAAGCAGGAAGGGAGGAACGGTCCCGGACGGTTTCCAAAGATTGCCGGGTTCAGGTCATGCTCTCATGGATTTCATGGCTCCATCACAGCTCATTTGTTGCGCCCAGGTTGGTGGTGCAATTTGCCAATGACTTTACTGACGACAGCAACGACTTGACAAATTGCATCCAACTGGGCGGACAAGAGGCCCAGAATTTGGTTCAATATATGGCGCCCACTGGTGGAATGCTTGGGCGCGGCCTTGTGCCGAATTGCTTTACGATGCGCTCCAGGTTCAACTCTTGAGATTTCCTGGTGGTCACACGTCACCCCTGGATCCTCCTGTCGTAACTTGGCTTTGGGGGCGCACACGCTCGCCGCAGGATTTTAGCAAGTGCAAAGCATGCCAGCGGAACTGGCTTGCAAAATTGCAAAGCGCATTGAGCCATCAGAAGGGATGAGTTTTGATCGGAGTGAAAACGAATTCACTATTGTCGGGTTTCAGGATGATGCCAAATTTTGTCACAATAGTCACACCGCCATAGTCACACCGCCATAGTCACACCGCCTTCAGACAGCTTAAAGCTCAAGTGCGATGGATCGGTTGTTCTATATTGCTCTCATGGTCCTCTTTTTCAAAGAACGGGCCGGGCAGACATCCTTGCCACTACAAACTCTGCCGTCTTTGTTCGATGGTTTCGAACTGTCACCGGGCACTTGTATCTTTAGGCTGCGACGTGATGTTGCAAACACGGATGCCGCAAGGGACAGCAAGAGAGAGAAGAGGGAAAAGATACGGAGTGTAATTTGTTACATATAAAGAATTATGCGGCTTTTGCTGCATGGAAGTGTTTATGTTTTGGTATGTGTGTGTGTGCAACTGTGCAACATTGTGCAACTGCGTGTGTGTGTGTGTACACTGCTAATAACATGCAGTCTAAATATTGATTTGGCAGGGGAGTGCGGCATGATTGTGGGACCGCACTCAACGAAGCTACCACAATCATGGGATACTGGGTCTGATCAACCCAGCGTACCTGCATCAGAGGATAGCAACCGGCTAAGCTGAGAACCGGAAACTAAGTAACTTCGATATAGCATCCGGCTAAGCTGCGAACCGGAATCCATTTTTCATATTCACCCCGCTTCGCGTGGGGTGGCCGCCCACACCGCAGGTTTATTTCGGTCCGTGAGAGGGGCTAAGGGTCGTGTGGAATATGAGGAGCAGAGCAGCACAGGAGAATTGACATACATAACTGCTGGGTTTGTGATTATTTTTTTAAGTGGACCGAAAATATGTTTAAGTGGACTGAATTTTCACTTTTCTCCCCGTGGAGGCTTCCCAAGCTAGGGAATTTTCGCTTTTCCCCCCCGTGGGGGCTTCCCAAGCGACGGAATTTTCACTTTTCCCCCGTGGGGGCTTCCCAAGCTAAGAATTTTCACTTTCCCCCCCCGTGTGGGCTCCCCAAGCTAGGGAATTTTCACTTTTCCCCCCCGTGGGGGCTTCCCAAGCCAGGGAATTTCCACTTTTCCCCGCAGTGACGGCTTCCCAAGCTATGGAATTTTCACTTTTCCCTCCCTTGGAGGCTCTCCAAGCTGCGGAATTTCAAATAGCTAGACAACGACGCCTAGATAGTCCCCCAAATCCCGTGTTCTTTGAATGTGTTTCCATGTTTTTGCAATGGTTTCCTTCAAAGCACGGTACTTTACACTTTTGTCGCCATAAAACCGGTCGAAAACATCATGTTCGACAATGCTTCCAATTCCCTTATCTCCCCAACCGTTGAAAATACCGCTATTTACAGTGTTTTCTTCAATTTTTCCATGTGCCAATGCCGGTAGCCAACTCCAACATATATATAAGAAATCCTTCCAAAACATTGTTTTTGACAGTGTTTTTCCAATGTTTCCAGTCAAACAGACGGTAATTTACACGTTTTTTGCCATAAAGGCAGTAAATCCTTCCAAAACATTGCTTTTGACAGTGTTTTTGTAATGTTTCCAGTCAAGCATACGGTAATTTACACGTTTTTTGCTATAACGTCAGTCCAAAACACTTGTTTTTGCAGTGTTTTCAATGCTCTGGCATCCAAAAACCCTCATTTTTGGCCATTTTTCGATTGCCGGAAAGCTACCAAAATGACCCAAAATTCCATTTCAATACCCTCTCGCGCTCAGACACCCAAAAATCCTCGAAAAATGTCGAAAACACCACCGAATTCTGGTCTCGGTGCGAAACCGTTTTTGGGCCCCCCCCCAGCTAAAGCTGATATAGCGACTGCTATATTAACACATGTGATTGAGCATTTAGTGTAGCTGTTTGCCCCCCAATAAGCACGCCTTCACCGCCAAAGCGGTGTGGGCGGATTTCATAATTCATGCCTCATGTCCTATGATCCGTTTCAGGCCCTTTATTCAGGAACTGGTGGTGTTCTTTCACTTCTCCTCACTACGATCGAATCTCTACATATCCCACAGTGTGTTTCGGGTACTTTACCTCACTTGGTAGTACCGTCTGTCCGTTTCGACGGATATGAAAGTTATGACCGGGCATTTTCCCGGCTGCAGATTGGGATGTTGCCAACATCCTGAAGTTCCCTTTGCATATTACATGCAAAAGAAGTAGACAATGTCAAGGTGGACATTGAAGTTCGTCCAACAAATATTGACAGCTATAAGGCGAAGTTTTGCCCAATTGGCGAAGTACCCACAAGGGAGAAGTTGTCGTATGACGACGAAGTACTTTGAATGCGCACTTCTTCCGGTACATGTGGTCATATCCTCAGTTTTGTGTGCTATTATGTTATGATCTAATTCTACATTTAACCTTAGAGCCGTAGTTTCGAGCCATGGATCTTCGAACTTTTGCGAAATCACCGGGACCTCCCCCGAATTTGCCTGTTCCTCCGGGAGTGATCCCCAACAGTGTTTCGCAGCAGTTGAACAATTTGCGTATGACTGAATCTTCTATGTCTTCAATGTTGCGTACCCAACAAGAGCATGCTCGTTCATTGGAACGAATGGCAACGATGCAAAGACAGATCATTGAGATGCAACAAATTCAGACTCAACAGTTGCATTCTATGCAACAAATGATGTTACCATTGGCTTTTCAATGCAATGCATTCATGTCTTCCATGTCTTCTTTAGCACCTGGTGTGGGAAATTTGTTTACCCAGCCGCTCACATTTGTCCAATCAGCATTGGGATCGTCGGGGACCTTGTGTGATCCTTCTCATGGACTACCTGGAAGTAGTCCGGGACCTTTGGTGCAGTCTGCTGTTTTACCAGCTGGTCCGGGACCTTCAGTGCTTACTCCAAGTGGTCCGGAACCCAAACGTCGTCGTCTTGATCTCCAACCAGATCTTCTTCATGAGCTACAAAGTGCTACAAGCTCAGTTCAGATTCCGCGCTATGGTCTTTACCATCATGTGAAGCAATCTGGAACAAGTAATACTCCTGAACGAATTTGGTCTTCAGTTAGTGAGCGAGTGGCGAGTGGTACCACCAGTCCGCAATGGGACTGTCTGTTTTGTCTGTTTTACCATTGGACGGACTCAGACTGATGATCCTTTCAGACCAGTCATGAAGTCAAAGAAATGGTCCACCCTCAATTGAAGACACAAGGATTTCAATTTTGGGTCGCTCTTCCTGTGGCGACATTTTCATCTGAATTATTAATTATCAACAGATGCTTCGTATTCACAAATCAATTGCTGATAATCCATTTCGCGTGAAGAATGCCTTTGAAGATGGAATGCTGATCGAAGATACGAGACGTCAACAATGGACACCTAATGCTGACCATTTTAACTCCTCCCGTGGTTACATTACTCATGAAGATGCAGTGAATCACACTCAATTTTGGCATGATTACATTTCGACTGACTTGAAGCATCGATTTTCTGCACAACTATGTAACCCTGTTTTGCGTGATTCTGTTTTGACATCTCTCCGCTTTCTGGTTACTGCTTTGGGACGTTACAGCAACAATGTTTCATTGGTTGAGAAATTTGAGATCATTTTCAACTCCCAGCAACAGCCTATTGCGATCTATGCGCACTTGGCACTCCCGCAGTGGCGTGCGGACAATTTTGACATTTTTCAGTACTTTGGATTTGGCCATAATACATCAGTATTGGGAATGGCCTCAGCTGTGCGAGAAGGGGTCGTTCGACCATCATCATGCGATGTACGGAGCCCAGACTGGCTGACTCCCAATACCTTCTACTCTCGGGGAGCACTGTTCAATGATGATTCTTCCTTTTCTAGGAAACATGTGCTGAAAATTTTGGAACAAGCCAAGAAATTTGGCGGCCTCAATACTGCTCGGCCTATTTGTATTGTTGGTCGTGCTTTTGCACGTCAAGCACACATTCGGACCTCACAGGGTGGAGTTTATGCAGATCAATTGTTGGGCTATTTCTTTGATGTTGTGCATGGATCAGATTCTCGTTGGGCATTTCGATCTCACCTTTCGACCATTCATGGAGTGGCTACTTTCATTTCGTAGATTCTTGCCAGATGTAACAATTCATGCTATGATAAAAAAAAGATGTCTGTGCTGCGTCGTCCTTTTTGCATGGTTGGTTTTGAAATCTATAGATTAGTGTTTCCTTCTGAGTTTGCACAAGTTTTGCTTTGCTTCTTTTCGTACTACTACTACTTTGCCTAAGTTTTCTTCTGTTCATTCCAGATGTGACTTTGTGATATACGCGACGTAGAACCTTTTTCTGGTTCAATTGAATTGCAATTTGCAATTTGAGTATGCCTCGGGATTCTCGTTCTCGTTCGGGCCATAGATACCGTCGGGACCACAGTCGTCGACGTGGTGGACGCTCTGACAGATATCAACGGTCTCGGCGGTCCCCCAGAGCTCATCGACGATCAGAACCACGTACCGCAGCCCCAGTGAGTTCAAAACCTTTTGATCTTCTATCCCAGTGGCAGAGTACTTCGTCTCATTATGATACATCATCGTATTTGTTGAACATGATCGTATTTTGTTGGCCATACAGTTCGCTATATTCACCTTTGCTTCTCAGTGTGAACAAGGATTAGATATTGTTATGCAATCACATGTTGTTCGTTTGGAACGGATTCTTCGTGTTTTTCAAGGATCTTGGAGAGAAAAGACGAAACAATATATGACTATTACTTTGCGTGATATTCCTAGCTTGGTACAATATTGGCTGGATCATTCGTATTTCACGGTCGGGAGCCAAGTATTTCGACAACGTCGGGGTGCCAGTAGGGGATCCCAGTTTGCACCCGTTCTATGTTCTGCAGTTGCACTTCAACGAGAATGGAACTTCGCAATGTCATTTTCTGCATTTACTTGGGATCGT